GAAGCAGAAGCGGTGGGGCTGCTTGACAGGTATGGTGACCCTTGACGTGTGTGTGGGGGGGGGGTTTTGGCCCACTGGGCACTGATGTGGTCTTGGCACGGAAGTAGGGGGTGCTGGATGCCCACCTCGTGACTTCCAGTGGATGGTGCAGGGAGTGTGTGATGGGAGCTCAGCACCTGGAGCCCACCCTCTGCCTCACTCGTTCAGGAGTTCCTTCCTGCACAGGCTGCAGTTTGCCTCACCCACCGATGGACAGTTTCGGGGGCAGTGCAGGGTGTTGGGGAGGGCAGGCATGGTGAGCTGGACACCTGGCCAAGGCCCTTCCCCACGGGTGTCAGGGAAGGGAGTCCCAGCTCTGTCTTTGGGGCCTGAGCACCGTCTGTCTGGATGAAGGTCCTGGCTCGAGCCCCGAGGGTGTTGTGTCCAGGATGGGGCATGAAACTGGGATGGGTACTCCATTGAAAAGCTGGTGCCCTGGAGATATTGGGGGTCAGTGACCTTCTTTTGGGGTGCACGAGTCCCTGTCCAGACTAGTGGGCAGCCTGGGCCTCTGGGCCACTGAGAGTCCCTCCTCTGAAAAGCCGCCTGTCCTCTTCAGTGTGCGTTTCACATTTCACATACAAGGCATTGCCTTCAGTGAGTCTGCCCCAGGCAGTGCTGGTGACACCTTCTTGTGAGAGTGACCTCTGATGCTCCCCACCCTGACCTCAGCGCTGCCCAATTTCATTGTGTCCCCTGCAGTTCTGGTCGAGTGTCAGGAGTTCTCTGCTCACCACACTAACCGAGTGGGAACATCGGGGTGTGTCTGCAGGGCCTCTGTGCGGAGCCCCTCCAACAGGGACCCACCTCGTCCCTCATTGCAGGAGAACCCTAGGAGGCTGCAGAGGGCTCTGGGTCAGCCTGGAAGTGGGACTTGCCTGGGGCGGTCAGGGACAAGCACTGTCCTCGCCGCCTCCGAGTGGGTGTGCAGCCATGGGGAGGGGGTTAAGCTGAGCTGATGGTATCAGGGGCCCCTGAACCCCTGGAACTTGCAGAGATATGGGACAAGGAGTGAGCTCCCCATGGGCTGAGCGGCAGAAGGGTCCTGGCCAGTGTAGGGTCCCCCATCTGCTGTTCATGGACCCTTATTCAGAAGCGTGTAGAGAGCTCCTCCAAGTGGACAGATGGGTGAGCCGTGGGCGCTGGGCAAACCTTGCCCTTGAGCCCCTGGAGAGAATGCCCAGTGTGGACACAAGGTGTCAGAGAGAGCACAGCATAAAGGGCCGGGTTTCAAGGGGCAGCCAGGGGTGGTCCAGTATGCTTACAACAGCCTGTGCATCTGGCACCTTCCTCCAGTTCTAGAACTTTCTCACCTTCCCCTCAGGAGAAGTAACATCTGTTAGCACTAACCCCCCACTCCTCTTCCTGAGGAGCTGAGACCCAGGAGGTGGGGTGTCATAGGGTTTGAGTGTAGATGGTGTGGGAGGGCACAAGACAGGGGAGCGTCTGAACCCCAACTCAGGACCCCGTGGTGTCAGGACTGAGGCCAAGGGGGGATATCTTTTAAAAAGGGAGTGGGAGGGTTTTATCTGGGGATAAAAATCTGCCCTGACTGTAAACAGTGCTTGCTAGTCGTAGAAATTCCAGAAACCTGAACTATAGGAAGATCGCGCCAGCCAGACGTCTGTCTCCGGAGACCCTGCTGTGCTGCTCCTGTGAGCGCGGGCTTTTCCACTTAGTCCTGACTCACGTTTATAAACAGTTCTGTCCCCCCACCTCCTGTCAGTGTATTGATATATCGGTGAAGCCACTGAACTCGGTGAATGAAGTGGGATGTGTTTGATCTCTGCTGAGGGGTGTGTCTCCTGACTGGGACCAAACCTGGCTCTGCTCCGAGCTGTGCCGGTGTCTCCAAGCTGGGACCCCCTCCTCTTCCCTTCCTCATCAGTGGGGTGGGAACCCCTGCTGCCCGTGACCTCTCCCCAGAGGACCTCGGGCCAGAAGACCAAGATTCACACTGACCTGTGAGGTAATCCAAAGGTGCTGGACTCAGGAGGACTGGTCAGCCTGGAGGAGCCTGTGTGTGGACTCAACCCGCCCCCTCCCCACTCAGGTTGTCCTCTCCCCTCCCCCTTAGGCACAGGGTCTTGCCTCCCACCCCGGGTGCACGATGTCTGTCACAGCCCCCCCCGCCCCCCATCCACAGAGTCGCTAACCCCACCCCCACATGCACAGTATCTGTCACAGCCCCCCTTGGGGCACAGGGTCACTAACCCCCACCCCTGGGTGCACAGTGTCTGTCACAGCCCCCTGGGTGCATAACGTCACTCACCCCCCCACCCCCGGGTGCACAGAGTCACTCACCCCCCCCCCAGGCACACGATGTTGTCACAGCCCCCCCAGGTGTTCAGGGTCACTCAACCCCACCCTTCTTGGATGTACAGGTCTTGTCACACTCTCTCCTGCTCTCAGCACTGTGACCCTCAAGGCCAATGTGCGTCCCAGAGGGGGTCCTGGCCACAGAGAGTGTTAGGGTGTGGTGTGGGAGATGAGACAGTGGAGGACAGAAGCAGGAAGAGGTGGATGCCCCGGTGGGCAGCCTGCTGGACTCCCTGGTGGGCAGCAGAGGCTACTGGGAGGACTGAGGGGTTCAACAAAGAGCAAAAGAAAAGAGGGGGTGATCTGTTGGTGGATGGGAGGGAGTGCTGGCTGCCCTTGCAGCTGAGCATTGCCACATGAGGTGTCCCCTGCAGAGCTGGAAGCCTGTCCCTTTTGGGTGCATGGTGTCTGGGCCACCCCAATGAGGAGGAGTTAGAGCTGACCTGCGCCCAGGAGTGGGGACAGAGGGCGTGATGTGGGCAGGAGTTGGGGGGTGTTCACTATGAAATGGGACTCAGAGAGCTGTGTGTATACAGTTGACTCTGAGCACAGAGTTGGTGTTCAGATAAACTTGTGTATACAGTTGGAGCCCAGGTGGACTAGGAAGGGTCATGTGTATACAGTTGACCCTCAGATGGACTGTGGAGATCGTGTGTCTACAGTAGGAGCTCAGGTGGACTCGGAAGGTCGTGTGTATACAATTGGCACTCAAGTGGTCTCGGGATGTCTTGTGTATATAGTTGGCCCTCAGCACGCAGCAGGCACTAAGTAGTGCAAATCCCTGAGTAGGGAGCTCAGAGGCAGCTGTCTGAGCAGTTTTATATAAAACACCCCCAAAATCAGTCAGAACCAAGCTACTCATGTGTGCCACACGCCCTGCAGGAGGGGCTTGTGTGGCCAGATGGTGGCAGGCCGTGGGGTCCAGCGGTGCTCGGACTGCCACGCTGGCCAGCAGGGTCAAGCTCATCAGCATGGAGGAGCGTTGGGCATTTTTGTGTCCAGTTTCTCATGTATGAACAGGGTCGGGCTTAGGATCTAGTGGGGGACTGGGTACCCACCATAATCTACACCCCAGAGAACAGCCGCCTGCTGACATGAGGTGCGGTCGGCCACCAGCAAGGACTCAGGAGCAGGACAGAGGGACGCTGGGACACACATGAGCAGTGCTGGGCTGCAGACCCTGGACAGGCAGGGAGCAGGGTGGGGAGGGTGAGCATCGTTGAGCTCCGTGGGGGGCTGGGACATAATGATGGAGATGGTGGGTCTGGCTGCCCCACTCTAGTCTCATGGTTCTTTGTGCCAGTCTCTGCCTGTCAGGACAGCCATCTTTCCATGAGGCCACACCTCCTCCAGGCAGCCCTCCATCAATCCCGCTCAACAAAATGCTCTGTAGCCCCAGGTGGGAGTAGGGGTGTTGCTGTGAACCAGCAACAAGGCCTGGGCCTGGAGGAGTCCTCCCAGGCGTCGGTTTCCTTGCCTGCAGTCGGCTAGGACAGAAGACCCTGGGTGTGTCCTGCTAGGGGCTGCGCAGGTGCACCTGGAGGTTTGACCACTGAGAATGGAGGGCAGGCAGAGAAAGGGTGGAGGAAGTCTGAGCAGGAGCCCAGTGGGCACAAGACAGGCTGCTAGGAGCTCTGTCCAGGGGTGCCGGAGCCGGGCCTGTGTCTGTCCAGGGGTGCCTGGTCTGGGCCCCGCAAGCACTCAAGTAAAAACTTCCAGAAAGCCCCAACCAGGTTGGGTGTCCAGCAGCTCGGAGTCCAGTTCCCAGATGTGGGTCATATCAGGCTGCCCTTGGCACCCCCTTCCTTTCTGGGTAGGGCTGGTATGAGGGGCAGCGACCAGTGTTGTAGTAAGGGAGACAGTGACCAGAGGCAGACCAGGTACTGCAGAAGTGGTACCCTGATAATTTTAGCCTGGCGACTCCTACTGCCCAGCGCTAAGAGCATGACCGTGGACAGCTCCCAGTTCCTTGGCTTCTGACTTGGTGGGAACCTTGACTGGGTCCCTGTCTCCCTGTCCTCGTGGTGACTTGCTGTCTTTCTCAAGGCCATCTCTACAGCCTTGGCCACAGGGACAGCCTCACAGTGGGCTCAGGGCTCCAGGTGAAGCATGGCCGAATGCCTGAAGCCTAGCACGTGGCCGGGGCTTGGACAGCCTCCTTGTGGGGGCCACAGCGGCACCCAGTGGCCAGCTTCAGCACTTGCAGGGTCCAGCCAGCCCATTTCCAGCTGTGATGCTGAACGCCATGACCATTACCGTCTGTGGTCAGTGTGTGGTGGAGCTCCCAGACTGATTCAGGTTTGGAAGCAGGAGTGGCATCCACTTCCTAAACCACATGCCTCTGGAAACTGTATGAACATAGAGAAACAATGATAGTTATAGACTAGGGTGTTCACAGTGTCGCTATGAGTCATTGGCAATTGGGGTCCTGAGCTGGCCCTCCAGAGCAAACAAAGAGTGCTGAGACGCGGGGCTGCAGGTTGGCAGTGGACTGCAAAGCCTGCGGGTGGTCAGGGGCTGTTGGTGGGGGCTGGAGATCCCAGAGAAAGAGAGGCTTGGGGACCCAGAGATGGGGTACAGCCTAGGCAGAGGTCCTGGGCCCAGAGGCTGTCAGATGACTGCTAAACCCCCTTCTTTGGTAGACGGTGCCCCCCTCAGCGAGCTCTCCTGGTCGTCTTCCCTGGCCGTGGTGGCTGTGTCTTTCTCCGGCCTCCTCACCGTCATCGTCCTAATGCTGGCCTGCCTGTGCTGTAAGAAGGGAGGCATCGGGTTCAAGGTGAGGGTGTGCCGGGGGTGGAAGCTGGGCAGGTGTGGGCGGGGCTGGGTGAGAGGGGACAGATGTGGGCGGGGCTGGGGGATGGGAAAGGGGGCTGATGTGGGCGGGGCTGGGGATGGGAGAGAGGGGGCTGATGTGGGCGGGGCTGGAGCATTGGGCAGGAGGGGGCCTGATGGGGGCAAGGCTGGGTAAGTTGGGGTGTGGGTGGTGCTGGGGCTGTGGGGGTGGGGGTCATAGGAAGGAGCAGCTAGGGGCTGGGGCTGGCCTGAGGGACAGAGCTGGGCCCTGGGCTGGGTTCTGGCCACAGTCTCCAGCTAGCACTAATCACCTATCCCTGTTGGCTGGATGCAGGCTTGCCATGAAGCCACCTGGAAGGCCTCTCAGCCCTGGGCCCGTGATGCCTCCTGAAAGGAGAGGCCTGAGAGGTCTTGGGGACCTCAGACAACTGATCCCCACTTTTGATCTTCTGTGTGGGACGTGGCCTCAGTTGACCCTATAGCCCAGCTGCCAGGCCAGATCTCCAAGCTGAGAACCAGGAGAGGGAAGGATGGGGGTAGGGTGGCCTCTTGAGCCTGTGGGGGAGGGGTTTGCATCCCCTACTTCCTGTTAGGGGAGGCTCTACTCCCTGCATGTTGTCCCCCAAATGCCCTGGGTATTTGAGTCAAGAAAGGGAGACTGAGCCCCAAGACCCCTGCTCTCTGGCTGTTTTGGGCCCCGTGCAGATGGCACCCCCAGGTGATGTCTGCTGTCCGGGAGGGGGCACTCCAGGGACTGCTGACATGGGCGGGACCTTTTGGCATTTACACTGGACTAGATTCTTGAGCTGGGCCTGCCCCCCTTCTCCAGGGTGCTGGCCTTCTCCCCCTCCTGCAGAGGGGTAGCCATCGTTTGGGGATGCTGTGGCCCCATCCGCCTGCCTGTGTGGGCTCATGCCTGCCGACTCAGTGCATTGCTGTGTAGGGAGAGTCCTGGCCATTCACACGCCCAGGGCCAGCCCCACCCGACCAGAGGTCAGATTCCTGCCTGGCACGTGGGCCGCTCTCTGGCCGCAGGGCTCTGCTCTTGCCGCTGGGCCTCATACCCATCTGCAGCCTGGGAACCTTTGGCCCAGCCTCCTGCTGGATCTGACTGCAGGGGTCCAGCCCCACGTCCTAGAGGTGAATGAGGTCGGAATATGAACAGCTGCTGCCGCCGGGGATCCCAGGATTGCAAGCTGTGTTTCAGAACACTGGCAGGGCTGGGAGAACTGGCCTGAGGGCAACTGACCAAGCAGACTTGGGTTTTCAGGGGGATGCTGGAGCCATTCAGGGGACTGAGGACCTGGGGGTGGGCAGTCCCTCCTCAGAGCTGTGTGAGAACAAGGTCCCAGTGATGGGCAAGCTAGGGCCCCTCCTCCCGCGCCCTCCTCACTTCCAGAACATTCCTGCGCCCGTGTGCCTTGGTGGGAGAGCTCGCCTCCACAGAGCCCGTCCGGGGCTCTGGGCAGTGCAGGGCAGGGCCCACCTGCCAGGCTGAGCTCTGCCAGTGTACAGCATGCTCTCCCTCTCCTATCTGCTCGCCCGCTTGGCCAGTGGCATCTGGCAGGCCTCCAGGCAGCACAACCAGGTACTGGGTGGAGCCCGGGCCAGCACCCAGGTCAGGACAAGAAGCTATTTGTTCCCTGGACACTTCTCCAGGGCTGGTGGGTGGGAGGCTGAGGCTTCCAGCTGGGGGAGCTAAGGGTCAGAAGGTCCTGTGGACTCAAGGGTGGTCTCTCGGGCCCTTGGGGAGGGCAGCCCCTGAAGTCCAGTTCTCTCTGGGTGCAGGCTGGTCCAAAGGAAGCTCAGTGGGGGTCCCAGTCCCCTGCTCACGATGGTGAATGTCAAGACCCAGAGAAGGGAGGTGCCCTGGGGAGACAGCTCCCCTCCTGCCGTCTGACCACACGGCCTGGGTCAGGCAGCTGGTCTCCTCTGAGCCTTGGTGTCCACGCTGGACACTGGGGCTTGGGGTCTTGCTGTGTCTAGTAAGTGAGGCTGCGGGTAACTTGTTTTATTGTGTAGTTGTTTCAGGTGGTGCCAGTCCGTTCTCAGGACTGTGCTGTGGGCATGTGTGTACACATTATGTGAGTGTGTGGTCATGAGTGCAGGCAGGTACACATACACGTGTATAACTGTGTTCTGTGCGACCGTGAACACGTACGTGGGACCGTGTGTGCATGAAATACCATGTGTGTAACGTGTCTGTGTGCACGTGTGTATGTGCGAGAAAGCACACTCCCGAGTGGGTGTGCATGCATGCACATCTGTGAGTGCAAACACATGAGCACACACGCATACATTTGCACACATGATGGTGTGTGTTCTGTGTGATTGAGTGTGTCTATGTGAACATGAATTTACATATGTGTGAATGTTGTCTGTGTGTATAAATACACACGTGTATGTGTGAAGTGCTCACGCGCATGTATGAACATGTGTGCTTGTGTACGCGTGTATATGTGTGTGAGGGCACACATGTGGTTGAGTGTGTGAGTAATCATGAGTCAGTACACATAACATGTGTGTGAGGTCAGCACACATGTGTGTGAGGTTTTGTGCATGTGTAAACATGGGTGTGCATGTGTGTAAACCTGTGTGCTCTGTAACTATGAACACGTATGTGTGAGCAGGTGTGCGTACATTAACATGTGTGTGAATTTGTGTGCATGTGTCCCATGCCCCTGTGTGTATGTGGGTGCACACGTGTCAACATGTGTGGGTGTATCAACATTTGTGTGTGAACACACATGTATGTTACCTTATATACCATGTGCACATGGAAATGTGTCCGAGTGTAGGTGCACCATTTGCATATATAGCACACGTGAATGTCTGCCCATCTGTGTGTGTGTGTGTGTGTGTGTGTGTGTGTGTGTGTGTGTGTGTGTGAATGGGGAGGTCTCCTCTAGCTGGGTGTGGTAGTACTGTTTCAAAATAGTAGTGTGCCCAGGTGTGGCCCAGCTGCAGCCTGCCCAGGGTCAGGCTCTTACGGCGCCTCGGGCTTGCCCAGGAGGTGGGTGTGGACAGCTGGGGAGCAGTGTATGTATGGCCTGACTGGGGCAAAGGTCAGACTGCCACCAGGTAGATGGCTGTGGTAGGTGACGGGGTGTCAGGCTGGGGGGAAACACTGGGGGTGTCTATGCTCCAGGACCCTAGAGACTGTCCTTGAGAGGGGTGGGGACTTCTTGGATGTCAGAGTAAGGTGGGGTAATGAGGCTCTCATCCAGGCTGCCAGGCTGCAGGGCCTAGAGTGGGGGCTGCTGCGAGTTTTGAGGGCTGACTCTGGGCATACCAGGTCCCCTGGTGCATCCACTGCCAGCCTGGTAGGTCAGTGGTGGGACGTGGGGGTGGCTGAGGCTGGGTCCTGTCCTCTTAGATTCTGATATTGGGAAGAAAATGTGTTCCCTATCAACACACCCCAACCCAGGGCCCTCCTGGGATGCTGGTGTCCCTGAAGAGCAGGGATTCGGAGTGTGTGTTGGGGAGGGTGTGGGGCTCTGGGGGGGCACTGCTTGGCTACTGGTGTCTCCCCACCCAGCACACCTGCGGGGGGCGGACAGGGCGTGGTGGTGGGAGCTCAAGGTGTCCCACTCTCTCAGGAGTTTGAGAATGCTGAGGCAGATGAGTACGCAGCCGCCTTCTCGGCACACGGCTCCCCAGCAGCCGCATCGCGAGGCGGCCCTGATGTGTACGTCCTACCCCTGGCCGAAGTCTCGTTGCCCGCGGCCAAGCAGCCTGGCCGCTCAGGTGAGCCAGTCTTGCTGTGTGCTGTGTTGGGGGCTGGGCGCCTCCCTCCTTCCACCACCCCTGGGTCCGTGGGCTCTCCGGTGTGTGGGGGGCCTGAACACCTCCCTCCATCACTCCACTCCTGAAGTCCCGGGTGCCCCTGGTGGTGTGTGAGGATGCAAGTAGCTCAGCCCCTGGACCCCTCTCTGGGGAGGCCGAGGGCTCAGTACAGGTCGCGTTCTGCTTCTGTTAGCTGATCCTCACTTGGGCCCTGCCCCAGGGTCCCCCTGTGGCTGCAGCCCAGGCCCAGCTGTCTGTTAGGGCATGTGGGCCTTCAGTGGCCAGGGACAGCCATCCTCCACCCCTCCCCCTCTTAGGGGCTTCGAGAAGGACAACTGTGGTTCAAATGCCACCCACGTGAGGGGGCCTGTGTCCTTGAAATGCTTGACCCCAAATTCCCGCCTCCTCGCAGCCCTCAGGGACACAGGCGCCATTGTGCATCCAGTGGCCGCCCACACAGGGGAGGGGACTTCTGGTGCTCTTTTCATCAGGCCCCCGAGTGGAGTGGCCCATCACCCAGCTCAAGGTCCACCACATCCCCTCTTCCCTTCCACTTGCTGCATGATCCCCATTCTGACCTGCAGTTGGGGTCCTGGCAGCTCAGGGTCTGGTACCCCCCCCCCCACCCTGGGATGTTCCTAGCCACTGTACCTTCCCTGCCATTGTCCCCGCCGCTCCTCCCAGGACCAGAAGGCAGGAGGTCAGCACAGGAGCTGAGCCCAGGTCCTGTGAAGGCTCTGTAGCCATGGTGACAGCTTGTCTGACATGAGCGACCCCAAGACTTCAGCCTTCGTCGTGAACTGGGGGAGCCCAAGGCATCCACCCACCCATGGGTCAAGCAGAGCTCAGACCCAGCACCCAGGCACCTGCCCCTCTGTCCACTGAGCCGAGGGCCCTGATGTCCTAGGTGACCAGGGGCTCTCGTTCTGTGCCTGATGCTGGGACTGGGGAGCCAGTCTACCCAGGGGCACACCCCACAGAATCCTTGAGACCCACCTTCTCCACCTCTGTGCCTGTCTCTGCAGGCAGGGGATGGCAGAGCCCAGGATGGACTTTTCTCTGTCCTTGTGGCTCTGACCCCAAGTATTCTGGAGTACTCTGCTTCTGGAGACAAGAGGTGCTGGATGACACCCCCATTTCTACACTTGCTCAAGATCTCAGGGCCAGAGAGGACAGGCTGGGCCTAGGCGAGGTGCCCCATAGCCCTGGGCCCCAGTGTTGGACATCAGCCTCACTGTTCCAGGAGCTCTGGTCCCTGGTCGGATGCCCTCCTCACTCTGGCCACACTGAGCCCCTGTCCCATGGTCCTTGGGCAATTGGCGTGGGAGCAGAATTCGGGGAATCCTTTGGGACACAGGCAGGGGTGTGGATGCTCTCAGACTCTCTGACCTCGCCCCTCCTCCCAGCTCGCTGACCTAAGCCAGTCAGCCTGCGGGCAGAAAGAACCCAGTGTGTCCAGCATGGCTGTGCCAAGTGGTCGCCGACAAAGGGGCCTTTGGGGCCTGGGTGCTGGAATGCCAGGCTGTGGCAGGGGTGAGGGGACAGCTGGCTCCGGCCCCACCCCCAGCTGTACTGCCAACCCCCTCCCACAGCCCCAGCCTCCCCCTGGCTGGTCCCTGTGGATCTGGGCACTCTCCCAGATGACCAGTAAGATGCCCAGGAGAAACCTTCAGCTCAGGGTCTCCTGGGCACGGTCCTCTTTCTGGAGACCCTCCAGGTGGGATCTCCTCTTCCTGACCTGGCCTGGCCTGCCCAGCACGGGGGCTTGGGGTCCCTGGAGGGGCTGGGGGAGGGTCAGGGGCAGCAGGAGGCCGGGCAGGTCTTGAGTGCCCTGTCCTGGTGCAGTGCAGCTTCTCAAGTCCACAGACCCGGGCCGCCACAGCCTCCTGTACCTGAAGGAAATTGGCCACGGCTGGTTTGGGAAGGTGAGTGATGGGTTCAGGGCGCTGAGTGCAGAGGGAGTTCTGCCCAGGGCTTCCAGCAGGGGTCCCTAGCATCAGGGCTGCAGCCGGTGTGGAGACAGCATCTTTGCCCTGGCTTCTCCCTGACCCTGGCCTGGGGTCTGTCCACGTCAGAGCCTGGAGGAAGCCAAGAGGCTGGGAGATTTGTGGGAGGCAAACACAAAGGCTTGGATATTACAGCCTAAGGTGTGATGGGGGAGCACCCAGGGCCCCTCTGCCAACAAGTGAATGCAGCACAGAGTGAGAAGGGCCTTGGGGGGGGCGGATGTGGAGGACGTAGGGTGAGGAGCATGGGGACCACGTCGGGGACCACGTCGACTGTCTGCACACCGCCCCTGCAGGTGTTCCTGGGGGAGGTGAACTCGGGGGTGAGCATCAGCCAGGTGGTGGTCAAGGAGCTCAAGGCCAGTGCCAGTGTTCAGGAGCAGGTGCACTTCCTGGAAGAGGCACAGCCCTATAGGTAAGCGGCCGCGGCAGGGGGCCTGGCTACCTGGGTAGGGCGGGGTGCGGTACTGCCGCTGCGCAGGGGGGCCTGGGGGAGCCCCTCCGCCGGCCCACTCTGCATCTGGGTGGTCATCTGCAGGGTCCTGCAGCACAGCAACCTGCTCCCGTGCCTGGCGCAGTGTGTGGAGGTGACGCCCTACCTGCTGGTGATGGAGTTCTGCCCACTGGTGAGCTGGGGCACCTCTGGGTGGGGTGCAGGCCCCCACTGTAGCCCCTCTGTTAGTTCAGAGCAAGGGTCCTTCCTAGGTCCTGTCACTGGGTGACCCCTTACAGCACGCAGTGCCGTGACCTCCAGAACCTCCCATTTCTGGAGGCCGGGCCACACCCGGGAAGGACAGCTTCTTCCCAGGAGGGCCTGCTCCCTCTGTGGCCTCAGAGAGCATGTTTGGACAATGGTGGCTTCTGGTGAGAGGGAGCCCACGGCCAGTAAGGGCATTCAGGTCCCACCTCTGTGTCAGAGTCCGGGACTGGCCACTCCCAGAACAGGGTCTGAGCCCTGCGGCTACAACTGTCCCCCTTGGGCACCCTCCCCACAAGCTCTGGGAACAGCGCTGGTGGTGGACTGAGTCCCAGCCGCCCTGGCGGACATGGGCTGGGACCATCCTCTGAGGACAGCTGCTTCTGGTTCCTCTCTACCATATTTGTCACCGCCCTGGCACAGCCATCTGAGGCCCTGCGTTGGCCTCTGCACAAGGGACACAGTCCTGCAGCCCCACAGGCTGCTGGGGACAACAGCGGTTGGAGAAAGGATTCAAACTGGCGAGGTGCTGTGGGGACACCTCCCTCTCCCAGAGCAGCCGGCCCCGTCCAGGGACAGTGCCCCTCTGGGCATCTGTAGCTGTTAGCTAAGAGCCTGGTGTCTCCACAGGTCTGTGGGTGGGCAGGCCTGTCGGTGGGGTGGGCTCGCCCCAGCCCTTGGCTCTGATGGGCTGGACCCTCTTCTAGGGGGACCTCAAGGGTTACCTGCGGAGCTGCCGGGTGGCAGAGTCCATGACGCCTGACCTGCTGTCACTGCAGCGCATGGCCTGCGAGGTGGCCTGCGGAGTCTTGTACCTGCATCAGCATAACTACGTGCACAGGTGAGGCAGGCCTGCTGAGCCTTCCTGCGGGCTGGGGGCCTCGGGGTGGTGTCAGCACAGTCTCCAGAGGCAGTCAGGTCCTCCTGGGAGCCAGGACAGTGGCCAGCTGCAGCCAGTCCTCTGCCCTTGGGTGGCCCACCACCCCCCAGGGACCACAGAGACCCTCCTCTGGACAGGGAGGGAACGGCTGACCTTGCCTTTTGGGGAGGGCCCTGGCTCAGCCCTGAGGGATGTAGGGGCATCGTTGGAAGGAGGTGTCATGGATGAGTGACCGTCCCTGGACGCACAGGCCGTCCTCCCCAACAACATCCTGGTGCTGAGTGCGTACACCTCTACTCCAGCATCAGTGATTTTGTTGAAGAGGGCAGCTGCCAGCCTCCCGCCACTGGCCTCCTGGCTGCTGCACCCACCCCGCCACCACCAGGATGCCTGTCACCCCCTCCTGCGGCCACATGGTCCTGCCCGTCGCCCACACCCCCATCCCAAGTCCCACTGCTGCTGGCCCCTGAAGGATGCCTGTCCCCCGCTCCTGCCCTCTCTGGCCCCATCCCCAGCTGCCCAAGCCCATTTCCCACCGCCCAGCAGTCTCGTGCCTCATGACCAGCCCATCTCGCTGGCCACACCCTTCTCACTGACTGCCCTCCCTCTCTCCCTCTCTCCCTGGCCACCCATGTCCAAACCCTCACCCTCAGTTCCACTGACCCTGCTCCCAGGACCCTCGCCATCCCCTCCCCCCCGCAGAGAGAGCCCCTCCCCATGAGCCCCTCCACCCTACCGTCCTCTCCCAGTGGTGATGGTGCAACCAGACTTTGCTAATGCCCGGGACCTCCAAGCCCCCAGGGCCACCAGGCAGGCAGGGGGCCAAAATTCTGAGGGTGAGGAAAGTGGGGGCCTGCTTTTCCCGTGGACCCCTCCCTGCCTCTGAGGCTGAAGGCATGGGGTACGGGGTGAGAAGAGGCTGCCTGAAGCCACTGTGAACCCACAGGTCCTGTCTGTCAAGCCCTGGGCAGCCCTGCCAACCAGCTCCCAGAAGAGGCTGGGAAAGAAATGGTTTCCACTTGCTGGCGGGGGTCAGGGGTCAGGGGGCGGGGCTAGGGCCGTGCAGACCTGCAAGGCTTGCCTGAGTCTGTGTCTGCTGTGAGGTTCGGTAAGGGCCCCGCCCAAGCTGACCTTCAGATTAGGCCTCTGATGCCCTTCTGTCGTCCCCTGCCCCGCTGACCCACCCCTCCTCCCCAGCGACCTGGCTCTGAGGAACTGCCTGCTGTCTGCTGACCTGACGGTGAAAATTGGGGACTACGGCCTTTCCCACTGCAAGTACAGAGTGAGTGGGGCCGAGTGGGCACTAGACAGGCTGGCTGTCCACCCTATCCCACTCAAGTACAGAGTGGGGGCCACGAGGGGCACGTGGGCATGGGCTGGCTGACCACTGGCTGAGGCTGACTGTGGGTCTTGCAGGAGGACTACTTCGTGACGGCTGACCAGCTGTGGGTGCCGCTGCGCTGGATTGCGCCTGAGCTGGTGGATGAGGTCCATGGTAACCTGCTGGTGGTGGACCAGACCAAGACCAGCAACGTGTGGTGAGCAGATAGCAGGGACAAGGCGGCTGGGGAGATGGGGGCGTGGGGAGAACTCGCTGAAGGAGGCGACCTCACCCCGCAGGCAGCGTGTCCATGCTCCCAGAGGTCCCCACCCCACTGAGGACAGCAGCAGGAACACACGTTTATGGGTCTCAGTGCCAAGTGGGTGCAGCAGCATTTGGAGAGGGGGCCAGGGCTTGTTGGACTGGTGGCTGGGCAGCCTGGAGGCAGCTATCCTGAGTCCCTGCACCAGGCCCAGGACTGGGTGGGTGCAGAGAGCCAGCACCTGAACCCCAGAGGAAGGTGCCCCCTCAGGCAGACCCCTGGGATTGCCACCTGACTTGGTGGTGGTCCTGACCCTCTGGCCTCACCTCTGCCATGTTGAGTCCTGAGCCTGGATCCATGATCAGAGCTTTCAAAGGGCCATTTCACTGTGCTCAGTCACCAAAACCCCTGCTCCCCGACCTCCACTTCACCATCCCAGTGGCCCTCAGCCTGCATTAGGCCAACTCGAGTCCTAAATGACAAGGCTGGGAAAGGACCAGGCCCCCCAGAACAGCCTGAACTCTGTGGGCGTGGCCAGGACCCCGCCCCCACCAGGCCTAAGCACCTCCCCAGGCCCTGCCTCCTGCCCGGCCCCGCCTCCCCTTCCAAGGCCCCGCCTCCTGTCCGGGCCCCACCTCCCCTCCAGGCCCCACTCCCGACTGCCCACCTTGTCTGAGGCTCGCTTTTCTCCTGGCTCGCCTGCAGGTCCCTGGGCGTGACCATCTGGGAGCTCTTGGAGCTGGGTGTGCAGCCCTACCCGCATCACTCGGACCGCCAGGTGCTGGCCTACGCCATCCGTGAGCAGCAGCTCAAGCTGTCTAAGCCCCAGCTACAGCTGCCCCTGGCTGACCGCTGGTGAGGACTGGATGGGCGTCTGTTCAGACCCCTGCCCTGCCCTACTGGATCTAGAGAGGAGCCCACGGGGAAGGCCATTGACCTCTATGGTCCACTTCTGATCTCTACTGTCCACAGGGGAACCAGCTCCACCATGGGGGTCAGGGGAGGCGGAGGGGACTGTTGATGAGGAAAGGGCCGCAGCGGACCACCTGCTCTCAGATCGTTGGGGGGCTTATTTAGCGTCGGCACTCTGTTGTCTTCACGGGTCCTTATGAAGGCAATATGAGCAAGAGGGGTTTTCTTAACCCCAAAGGAAGAAACAAGTGCTCTCCTTTGACGGGGATCTGGGCAGGGCCTGCGCCCAGGGCGGGGCCTTTTAGGGAAGAACAAGGCAGGGCTCTTGCGGGGAGGGGGAATGGGGAGGGGGCACGGGGTGGGACCTCCGATGAGGTGGGGCAGCTCAGGGAGGGGCCTGGAAGGTCATGGGGCGTGGCCTCCAACGAGGGGGTCCCTGGAGGGGCAGTCCATCCTCGGGCTAGGTGGAGCCTTTGGGAAGGGGGCCTCCCAGGAACAGGAGGAATCATCTGTGGGAGCCGAGGGGTAGGACCGGAACAAACTTCTCCTCCTGGCAGGTACGAGGTGATGCAGTTCTGCTGGCTGCAGCCGGAGCAGCGCCCCACGGCAGAGGAGGTGCACCTGCTGCTGACATACCTTTGCGCCCAGGGCACCACCGAGGCCGAGGAGGAGTTCGAGAGGCGCTGGCGCTCGCTGCGGCCGGGCGGGGGCGGCGAGGGCGTTGGCTCTACTCTGGGGCCAGGCTTGGCAGGCCCGGTGCTGGGCAGTGGGGCCGAGCTCTCCACCGCCTCGTCCTTCCCGCTGCTGGAACAGTTTTCGGGCGATGGCTTCCACGCAGAGGCTGACGACGTGCTGACGGTCACCGAGACGAGCCGCGGCCTCAACTTCGAGTACAAATGGGAGGCAGGCCGGGGCGCCGAGGCCTTCACGCCGTCTGGGGGCACGCCGAGCCCAAGCGCGCGCCTGCAAGAGCTGTGCGCCCCTGAAGGCGCGCCGCCGGGCGTGGTGCCGGTGCTCAGCGCGCACAGCCCCTCCGTGGGCAGCGAGTACTTCATCCGCCTGGAGGAGCCCGCTGCCGGCCACGACCCTGACTGCGCTGGTTGTGTCCACAGCCCCCACGCCGCGCGCCCCGACGACGAGGACGAGGACTCAGACTCGGATGGGAGCGTCGGGGCCTCCCTGGCCATGGAGCCGCTGCTGGGCCACGCGCCCCCCGCCAGCGCCACCTGGGGCCACTGCGACTACTACCCGCGCAGAGGCCGCGCCCGGGTCCCAGCCAGCCCGGCGCACTCGCCCTCTCCCCAGGCCCTGATGCTGGCTGAGCCAGGCGCCGAGGATGCGGACTGGGGCACAGCCGCCTTCTGTCCGGGCTTTTTTGAGGACTCGCTGTGTATGTCACCCTCGGGGAGCTCTGGGACCCGGCCATCACCAGGTGCGGAGGATCCGCGGGAGGCGGAGGCGCGAAGGGCAGCCCAGCACAGACACTGGAACTCCAACGTGTCCGCCAACAACAACAGTGGCAGGGGCCGCCCCGCGTCCGATTCCTGGGGCCCGGGCTGTGAGGATGGCTGTCCTGGCCCGGAGCACAGTCCACTGGCTGAGCTTCAGCCGGGCTACCTCCTGACTCAGGAGGCCCCGGGAGAGCCCCACACGGCTTCCCCTGACCAGGAGTTAGGCTTCAGTCTCCCTCATCTCAGCCCTGCTGAGGGCTTGGTGCCGGGAGCCATTGTGTCCCCCTGGACAGAAGGGCCTGTGAGTGGGGGCAACGACCCGGAGGTAAAGCCCAGGCTTGCTAAGGAGGCTGGGGGGCCCCGTGGACCCCAACCACCTCTTCCCTCTGTGCCCTCCTCCGAGGAGGAGGGAGCTCCGCTTCCTGCAGAGGAGGCTCCCAGCACTCTGCCAGCCTCTCCCACACCTGCAAATGTCAGTGGGGACTCTGGCGCCGACCTGGTGGGGACTCCTGACAGTGGCAGCGTCTCCCCCAAGCTTGAGGTGCCTGGCAGTGAGGATGAGGACACAACCGAGGCCACTTCTGGGGTCTTCACAGACACGTCCAGTGATGGGCCCCAGCCTGAGAAACTAGACTTGGCCCCAGCCCTTCGCTCCCTACAGAAGCCAGTGGGGACCCCAGACTCACTGGAGTCTCTGGACATCCCGTCCTCAGCCAGTGACGGTGGCTGCGAGGCCTTTAGCCCGTCGGGCACTAGCACTCCTGGGGGGCAGCCCCGAGCCTCAGACAGTGGCTACGACACAGAGAACTATGAGTCCCCAGAGTTTGTGCTCAAGGAGGCGCACGAGCCACGGGAGCCGGGTGGCTTTGGGGAGGGGGCCTCAGAGGGTGAGAGTCCAGGGCCAGAGACAAGGCTCCCGGATTCCCTTGGTGGGGGCCTCAGCGACAAGAACCCCTACCGTGACTCAGCCTACTTCTCAGACCTGGACAGTGAACTGGAGCCCCCCGCAGATGCCATGGAGAAGCCTGGCAGTGTTGTCTGTGCCCCCTCACGGGAGCCGGACCTGGACGGCCTGCAGAGGCTGGCCCCACAGTCTGCTCAGAGCTGTCCGGGGCCTGGGCTGCCCGGGGAGGCACAGGGCGCTGGCCCCATGGAGGCTACTCCTCCCCCACAGCCGCCCGAACAGTCATCCCCAGAGGCCAGCGCCTGCCCGGGGCTCATCGGCCAAATCGAGGCACTGGCCCTGTCCAGCCCCAGTCACTCCAAGTTTTTCCTGCTGACCCCAGTCCCAACAGGCTCAAAGAATGGCTCTTTCCAAGCCCTCGAGGCTCCGCAGGAGTGGACAGGGGCAAGGCCTGGGTCGCCCAGCGCAGAGACGGCGTCGGGTCTGGGGCCCCCTAGAGCCCCCCTGTGCCTGGCCTTGCCTGGCCTGGCTTCTGAGGGCCGGCGGGAGGACGAGGAGGAGGACAGCGAGGACAGCGACGAGTCGGACGAGGAGCTCCGCTGTTACAGCATCCAAGAGCAGAGCGACGAGAGCGAGGAGGAGGCGGTTCCCGTGCGGGTGGTGGTGGCTGAGAGCCAGCGCGCTCGTGGCCTGCGCAGTCTGCTCAAAGCGCCCGGCCTGCTGTCCGAGGCCTTCTGTGAGGACCTGGAGCGCAAGAAGAAGGCCGTGTCCTTCTTCGACGACGTCACTGTCTACCTCTTCGACCAGGTGGGCTGCTGCCCTGAGCTCCCCAGGCGGGGGCGGGGGGGGGGCAGGCCACTTCTGGGGTCACCCCAGCCATGTGCTGTCTGGACCCTCTAGGAGAGCCCCACCCACGAGCTCGGGGAGCCTTTCCCTGGTGCGAAGGAGGCTTCCTCCAGATTCCCAGCGGCCAGTCCAGGCTCCCCCAGCGCCCCGGGCAGGCTGCGGCGGATAAGTGAACTTACCCCAGACAACACCACCAAGGAAGCTGGTGAGCTAGGGGCAGCGGCCGAGGGGCTGGGTGAGCGTGGGGGGTGGAGCTCCAGTGGAGGCGGAGCACCCTGTGGGCGGGGCGCGGAGCTGGGGGGGGCCATAGAGCTGGGGGATGGCGGAGCAGAGGGGG